CCCTAAACCCCAAACCCTGGACCAGGAAAGGGGGGTCAGGATACGGGCTTCCAGATTTCTCGGAAGTCACGGAGTCAGGGTTGCTACACTACTATCTGCTTAAGAACCCCCCAAAAAAGGAAAACAAAAAAAACAACAAATGATCCCCTTCTTACCCTTATAGGGGGCGACTTTTCTATTTTTTATTTTTTGGGGGTTCTCAAGAACACAGTAGTTTATAGGGTTCTTAAGGGGGGGTTCAAGGGGGGTTGGTAACCCAAGGCTCCCTAACACTCCCTACTACTCCCTAAGGCTCCTGAAGCCTTTTCTAAGGTTCCCTCAGTACCCCTAAGCCCTAAACTCTAAACCCTTAACCCTAACCCCTTGAACCATGGTAGCTCTCTGGCTTGCAAAGGGGAGGAGCAGTGTGAGATCAGGGTAAGCTCCCTTTCTGGGGCTCCTCAACCCCCCACACGCACTCTGAGGCCGGTAAGAAAACCCTAAACCCTACACCCTAAACCCGAAACCCTAAACCCTCAACCCCAAACCCCAAACCCCAAACCCCAAACCCCAAACCCTAAACCCCAAACCCTAAACCCCAAACCCTAAACCCATCCTGGAAGTCCCTCGTCACCTACGAAAGCTGCGCCTCCTCCCCGGCACTTGGAGGTACTTGTGAACCAAGTATAACTGTGCTTCGAACCCACTTAGGTTAGAAGTACAGTTACAAGTACAGTTGCCCTAAGCCCTCAACCCTAAACCCTGAACTCTAAACCCTAAACCCATAGTTGGGTTAGTAAGTACCATGAACCTCCCCGGGCAGGCCTGCCGCGCCGGAAACGACAAGTGCGTTCGGCCGCGTGGCGGCAGCCTTCGGGGCCTTCTTGTTTAGGGTTTAGGGTTTAGGGGTTAAGGGAATATACCTTAAATTGATGCAGGGATCCTTATTCTGATTTAAGGTATATTCCTTAATTGAGGGGTATTGGGCTCTCTGGCCCCAAGCCTGACCTAAGCCCTAAACAAACCCTAAACCCGAAACCCTAAACCCTAAACCCTATATTATCCGAAATCCTAAACCCTATAGAACCCGACGCCTGAGCCTTGAAAGCTGCCCTGCCCTGAATCCTACACCATTGCTTCGGACGATCCCAGGCTGCTTCTGAAACACTCCGCGGTGGCACAGCTCAGTTTCATGTCGGGGTTCGGGGTTTAGGGTTTAGGGTTTGGGGTTTGGGGTTTAGGGTTTAGGGTTTGGGGTTTAGGGTTTGGGGTTTAGGATTGGGGTTTGGGGTTTTGGGGTTTTTTTAAGGGGAGTGGGGGGAGAGTTGAGCGGAGATGCAATGATGCAAGGCTTTCGGGCTTCTAGGGGGGAGTTGAGAACTTGGGGCCGAGATGGTTTATATGTGGCTCCGGTCTACCTAGGGCAGCTTATACGCAACAGAACTAGCGACATGTACCATGTTAGTGGCCTGTGTCACTTCTTCTTGACCTAGGATACTCCTAGTGAAGGGTTAAGTTAAGGGCTGGGACATGCTAAGGTCAAGGGCAGGCGGGGTTACCCCTGCCCCCCCCCCCCCCCCAAAAAAAAAAAAAAGGCATCCCTAAACCCTAGACCCTAGACCCTAGACCCTAAACCCTAAACCCTAAACCCTAAACCCCAAAACCCCAAACCCCAAAACCCCAAAACCCCAAAACCCAACCCTACCCCCCCCCCCCCCCCCCCTACATTTTCGAGCTTTGGGTCCAGGTATCACAAGTCAAAGCCCTCAACCGCGAAGCAAAGCACCCACGCAACTCTATGCAACACTGAGGCAAAAGCCGTGTCGGCCTTGGACTTTGAAGGCCCCTCTGCCTCCCCCCCAACCCTAAACCCTAGCCCTAAACCCTAAACCCTAGCCCTAAACCCGAAACCCTAAACCCTAAACCCACGTGTGGCTTCTGAAGGTTTAGGGTTTACTGTTGAGGGTAACTGGCCCTAAGCCCACAATCCCTAAGGCCCTAAACCCGATAAGCCCTAGCCCTAAGCATGTTTGACCCCTAAATTTGGGGATGGTACTTACCCTTAAGTGCCCTAATATGGCTATAAGAGTACAGTTATACTTGGTTAACAAGTGCCATGAACCTCCAAGTAGGTTTAGGTTCTATAGGGTTAGAGAGGGCAGGACAGACAGCCAGTGAAGAGGTGAAGCGTTGCAGCAAAAGACGAGCAGAAGGAAGGGAGAGGAATACAGAGATGTCCATGCTGTCTGAACTCTGTGTGTGTGTAACTATATGTATCTATGTCATCATGCATTACACTGCACTGCATTATTGTATATTTGAAAAAACACTGAAGAGCCCAATACTTCTTACTTAAGGAATATACCCTTAAATCATGCTAAGGATCCCTGGTATCCCTGAACCTTAAACCCCAAACCCTAATACAGGTATTGGGCTCTTTGGGAAGCGGCTTAGGTGCTAGTTTCGTTTGGTTCTTCACATGGCCACAACGGTAGTGACCCCTCAAGATGCTTCTGTTGATCCGTTGAAGCTGCAGCCCCAAATCCAAGACCCTTTAGGGTTTAGGGTTTAGGGTTCAGCAGCTCTGGGTCGAGCAATCTCCAGTAGAGCCGCTGTCTGGACTCTAGAAAAAAACCCACCCACCCAGAGAATCCCAAAACATTAAGAAATATAAAGTTCTCATTTTTCCTCAGCAAGCCCTGTCCTCCGACCTCATTTATTCATTCTGCTTGGTTTCCATTCTGATCGTATGCGTTTCTTTCTGCTCGTATTCATTCTGCTCGTATTCGTTCTTTTTCTGACCTGCTCGTCTCGTGTTCGTTCTCGTTCTGCTCGTATTCATTCTGCTCGTATTCGTTCTCTCTCTGCTCGATTTCAGTCCGCTCGTTTTCGTTGTTTTTCTTTTTGTATTCATTCTGTTCGTATTCGCTCTCTCTCTCTGCTCGATTTCAGTCTGCTCTCCGTTCTCTCTCTGCTCGTAATCATTCTGCTCGTATTCGTTCTCTTTCTGCTCATATTCATTTTGCTCGTGTTCGTTCTCTTTCTGCTCGTATTCGTTCTTTTTCTGCACGCTCTCTGCTCGATTTCAGTCCGCTCGTTTTCGCTGTCTTTCTGCTCGTACTGAGTCTGCTCGTACTCATTCTCTTTCTGCTCGTATTCATTCTGCTCGTATTCGTTCTCTCTCTGCTCGACGTCAGTCTGCTCGTATTCGTTCTCTTTCTGCCCATATTCACTTTGCTCGTGTTCGTTTTCCCCGGTGACCCTGCCTATTTTTGGCCGTCTTGTTGGTTGTGTTTGGCACACTTTAAGCTGCCTGGCTTCCACATGGTTGCTTTCCAATGAGTGCCCCGGTGACCTCGCCTCATGTTGGCTCCTGCTCGTAGGGTTTGATGAGAGGCCTAGAGGTTTGTCGTATGTCCCCTCTCTTCGTGCTCGTAGGGTTTGTCGTATGTCCCTCCCTTCATGCTCGTAGGGTTTGATGAGAGGTCTACAGGTTTGTCGTACGTCCCCTCCCTTCGTGCTCTTAGATTTTGTCGTATGTCGCCTCCTTCGTGCTCGTCGGCTTTGTCGTATGTCCCTCTTTGTCTGCTTGCAGAGAATCCCAAGAATTAAGAAACTGAGGTTTTATTTTCAGAGGTTTGTCGTATGTCCCCTCCCTTCGTGCTCGTCGGCTTTGTCGTATGTCCCTTTTCTTCTGCTTGCAGAGAATCCCAAAACATTGAGAAATGTACGGGTTTATTTTAGAGGTTTGTCGTATGTCCCCTCCCTTCGTGCTCCAACCCCAGAATGGGGGTCCGGAAGTTGCTTTTCCCCACCCCACCCTCGGACCACCCAAGATGAGAAACACTGAGAAGGGGCTGCCGCGTTGCCCGGCCCCGCAAAGCCTTCATCTTGATCTGGATCTGGCCCAGACCCAGGTTTTCAAGCCCAGAATGGGGGTCTGGGCCAGAAGAGGGGGGGGAGGGCGGGGGTTGGGGGGGTGGGGGGGGGGGGGGGGGTGGGGGGGGGGGGGGGGGGGGGGGGGGAGGGGGGGGGGTTGGGGGTGGGGGGGGGGGGGGGGGGGGGGGGGGGTGGGGGGTGGGGGGGGGTGGGGGGTGGGGGGGGGGGGGTGGGGGGGGTGGGGGGGGGTGGGGGTGGGGGGGGTGGGTGGGGGGGGGGGGGGGGGGGGGGGGGGGGGGGGGGGGGGGGGGGGGGGGGGGGGGGGGGGTGGGGGGGGGGGGGGGGGGGGTGGGGGGGGGGGGGGGGGGGGGGGGGGGGGGGGGTGGGGGTGGGGGGGTGGGGGGCGGGGGGGGGGGGGGGGGGGGGGGGGGGGGGGGGGTGGCCATTGGCAAAAGCCGTGGCCATCGGCAAAAAAGCCGTGGCCATTGGCAAAAAAGCCGTGGCCATTGGCAGAAAAGCCGTGGCCATTGGCAAAAAAGCCGTGGCCATTGGCAAAAAAGCCGTGGCCATTGGCAAATGCCACTTGCCAATGGCCACGGCTTTTTTGCCAATGGCCACGTTCCCCATTAAGGTTGGGCCCCAACCTTAATGGAAAACGTGGCCATTGGCAAAAAAGCCGTGGCCATTGGCAAAAAGCCCGAAAAGTTGCCAATGGCCACGGCTTTTTTGCCAATGGCCACGTTCCCCATTAAGGTTGGGGGGCATTTTGTGCGAATTGGATTTGAAAAACCCATTTTGGCTACCAACCTTAATGACATTGGTGGCCATTGGCAAAAAAGCCGTGGCCATTGGCAACTTTCCCGTGGCCATTGGCGAATTTGCCAATGGCCACGGCTTTTTTGCCAATGGCCACGGCTTTTTTGCCAATGGCCACGGTTTTTTTGCCAATGGCCACGGTTTTTTTGCCAATGGCCACGTTCCCCATTAAGGTTTAAATTATTATATGAAAGAGAGGGTTTAGAGTTTTATTGTTTAGGGTTCCTTTGACCTGGACCCCCCCCCCCCCATCAAAAAGTCTGCTCCAGTAGCCGAAAATACCCTTACCATTCAGATCGCCAGGGAGGACGCCCCACATGATCGCCATGGAAGCTGGCTTGCCGGAGGAGCCTTTGTCTTTGTCTTTGGCGTTTAGGGGTTTAGGGTATAGGGTATAGGGTTCAGGGCTTCTCCCCCGCACGCTTGTCATTCTGAAAGTTCGAGACTCAGGGGGGTCTCCTCAAGGCCTCTTATGGGTCTGGGGGAGGGGGGGGGAACCCTAAACCCTTACTAAACCCCAAGCCTTTCCCAAACTCTAAACACGAAACCAAAGCTCTAAACCCGCCGTGAAGCCCTTAATCTAGGGGTCGGAATGATTACTAATGGTATTCCCTTAGGGTCCCTTGATAATTACACTACAATAACCACCAAAACCCCTATTCTTTTTATTTCAGGCCTAGCGGCACGGGCCGGCCCCCGCCCCCCACAGCACGAAACCTTGAACCTTGGCACTGTCTTCTCTTTCCCGTGTCTTTGTCCTCTCCTTCTCTCTGTCTCTCTTTCTCCTGCCTTCGCCCCCCCTCCCTCCCCCACCCCCCCCCCGGCGCCGGCGCGCGCGCGCGCGCGCGCGCACCCGCATCAGGAGCATCAGTGGGGTTGGTTTGGGGGCCTTAAAAGCATTCTATGCATGCGTTTTGCCTTCGAAAAACCTTCAGAAAACGCTGTAAACACGTGTTTTTGGGCTTGGGAAGCCTTTTGGGACCCAGGAAAGGGAGCATCATGAGCATCAGCGGCCTCCCCCAGGCCATCCAAAACCCCCTTAAACACGCCGATTGTATGTGCTTGAACGCTTGCGTGCCCACGAAACCCCCAAAAGCAAGACCCCGAATGCCCTTAAGGGCATTCGGGGTCCTGCTGTTCGGGTGTTTTGTAGGCACGAAGCCGTTCGATCGCGTAAAATGAGCGATTTTAGGGGCGTTTTTACGTGGACCCACAAAACACTCGGTATTTACGAGGTTTTCTGCTGTTGGAACCCCCCCCCAAACCGAGCATCATGAGCATCAGCTGGGTCTCTGGGCCGTGGGCCCGGACCCCCCCACGAAGCCCCTGGAGGCACGCGTGAAAAACCCCATAAAAACACGGTATTTACGGTGATTTCAACGTTTTTCAGCGTCTTTTACTGCCTTGGGGCCGCGGGCCAGGGCTGCTGATGCTCATGATGCTCGCCTGGTTTTGGGCTTCCGGTACCCCCCCCAAACCTTGAAAAACGTGGTTTCGGCCTGGCGCGCGCCCCATGTGAAAAGCTAGGGTCGATGATGCGCGCCTGTGAGGGTTTAATGGGGTGCTGCGGGTGTTTTGTGGCCTCGGTTTTTCGTAAAAAACCATGGTTTTTACGTGGTTTTCGTGCTTTTCGCACCACCGCGTGTTGCGTCCCCTTGGATGCCGTTTTGGAGGCCTCCCGAAGGGCCCCGCGCGAATTTGAAGCAATTTTAGGCGGGGTCGGCACCTCGGGCGCTCGCCCCTTAAAGCTAGCGCTTTAGTGCGACGCGGGCTCCGCCCTGGACCACGGGCGGCGCGGGGGCCGGATTTAATGGCTACCGCCAGTGCCGCCGACCCCTCAACCTGATGCTCCGCGCAAACCGGACAAGAACAAGGATGGCAGGCCATCTTTCGACGAATTCGCAGAGGCAGGAGGAGAGTGAGCGGTCTACGGTTTAGGGTTTCGGGTTTAGGGCCTAGGGTTTAGGGCTTAGGGTTTAGGGCTTAGGGTTGAGCGTTCAGGGTTTCAAGGGCATTAGGAGGGCTTAGTCGGTAGTGTGCTGAGAGGCCATCCGCGACCGGGGCAGGGGGGGGGGGTATATGCACTTATATATACCGGGTCCGGTATATGCTGGACCGTGGTGTGCCTACACTTCCGGGTTCGATGAAAGCTCCGGACCGTGGTTTATACATAATTATACAGAACACTAATATACCGGGTCCGGTGCATGCTGGACCGTGGTGTGCATACACTTCCGGGTTCGGTGAAAGCTCCGGACCGTGGCTTAAGCATATAGACATATACAGAACACTTATATACCGGTTCCAGTAGATGCTGGACCGTGGTGTGCATACACTTCCGGGTCTTGTCCACTGGAGCCCTTTAAAGTCAGTCTTTAAAGTCAGTCATCTAGGGGGGGGGGGGGGGGGGGGGGGGGGGGGGGGGGGGGGGGGGGGGGGGGGGGGGGGGGGGGGGGGGGGGGGGGGGGGGGGGGGGGGGGGGGGGAGCGCTGCAGGCGGAGCAACTGGAGCCCTTTGAAGTCAGTCTTAAAGTCAGTCATCTGATCGAGTGGGGAAGGGGTAGGGGAGGAGGATGGAGTGGAATGGTTGGGAAAGGTGGTTGGTGGTGGGAGGGTTAGGCACGGACTGGGGCCTTTAAAAATCAGCTTGAGGTGCGGGGTTACGCCGACGCCATGGAGTCTTCACCAGCGCCTCCCCCGCTCAAAGCTGGGGTCGGCGGATTCAGGCCCTAAAAAAACCCCTAACCCCTAAACCCCAAACCCCAAACCCCATAACCCCAAAACCCCAAAACCCCAAACCCCAAACCCCAAACCCCAAACCCCAAACCCAGGCCACCCTCATGCTCCTGGCCACTGGTGAGCCAGCGGCTGCCAGCCGTGCGAAAGCCGGGTGGCGGCCTCAGCGGACACTTTGGGGGGTTTAGGGTTTAGGGTTTAGGGTAGGGTTTAGGGTTTAGGGTTGAAGACCAGGCGTTGTAAAATTGCCTCCTCCCATCCCTCCCCCGACAAAAAAAACAGAGGGAACCGTCAGCACACATCCGAAGCTTGAAGGCCCAGCTTGGAGGTTCATGGTACTTATAGCCTAGTCATAACTGTACTTATATAATAACCCACCTATAAGCCCCTTAAGTGCCCTAAAATGGTTATGGCTGGGTTATAAGTACAGTCATAGCTGGCTTAGTAAGTACCATGAACCTCCAATAAGCCTTTACGCCCTGAAAGGGAAGGCTGGACCTTTCCACTCCCCCATTGTCGCTTTCTAGCCCGTTACGGGACTTCTTCAGGACGCTTCATCATATCCCTTAACCCTAAAAACACCGAACCCTATAAGCCTTGAACCCTAACTAAACCCTAAACCCTAACCCTTAACCCCAAAGCCTAAAGCCTAAACCCTAAACCCTAAACCCTAAGCCCTAAACCCTAAACCCTAAACCCTAAACCCTAAACCCTAAACCCTACACCCTAAACCCTATACCCTATACCCTATACCCTAAACCCTAAACCCTAAACCCTAAACCCTAAACCCTAAACCCTAAACCCTGACTGATGATTGAGGAAGGGGGAAGGTAGGGGGTGGTGCTGTAGGCTTATTGCCTTTGACTATATACTTCGGGCTGGAGTGGAGACTGTGGTGGTGGATGTGGCCATGTTTGGTGACGGGGAGGATGTAGGGGAGGAGGGACCCTAAGCCCTAAACCCGAAGGTCAGTCTTGCCGAGCGCCAGCGCATGTCTCACTCGCGTCCCGAACCCTGTGAGGGTCGGCTCGTTGTGGATGCCTGTACGCATACTGTTATGCTCTGACGACACCCCCCCCCCCCCCCCCCCGAAATGCTCCACGACGCCCGCAACCCACCCCCCCCCCCTCGCCTCTACCTGACGACCCGCCCCCACACCCCCCCCCCCCCCCCTGCCTCTGACACCCTTGCCCCTCTGACGACACCCCTCCTAGCACAGAGGCTACGGGATTCAGCTTCGCGGTTTCCCGCTGACTTTTGTTGCTCTTTAGTAACACACGAAAACAGAGCACTTCGAATCTATTCAGGTCCTTGCGTTCGAAGACGAAGTGCAACTAGTTGGGCATGACTTCATTGCAGCACCTAGACGGGTACAGGGGGTTCCCCCACCGAAAACTGCACCGAAGCTTTGGGACACCCCCACCCCCACCGAACTTTTCAAGGGGCCCCCCAAGGACGGGTTCAGGGTTCCTACCACAGAGGCTACGGGATTCAGCTTGACTTGTTGCTCTTTAGCAACACACGAAAACAGAGCACTTCGAGTCTATTCAGGTCCTTGCATTCGAAGGGGAAGTGCAACTTGGGCCTAACTAGGGATGGCACTCTCTTGGGCATGACTTCATTGCAAGCACCTATAGACGGGTACAGGGCTTTCCCCGCCGAGAACCTCCACCATCATCATCATAATGATGCTGATGATGATCAGCAACCTCTACACATGCATCATGCTTCTCACTTCTCACTGCTGATTTCTGTTTTGCTGTGTAGACGACAAACACTACCATGAGTTTTGGGTTGCATGAAAACCCGCGTGGGTGTTATCTTGAACTTAGATGGGAAAATCGCTAGCGATTTCAACCCGAATGCGATTTGGACTTACAATCAAGAGCCAAGAGCCCCAAATCGTTCGCGATTTGGAATGTGCTTCTGTAAACAAGGCTCCAAAAGCCCCCCGAAAAGGCTTCGGCAAAATGCGTTGTCGGAGGCTTGGAAAACGCAGTTTTGCAGGCTCTCGGTTTTGGAATTGGGCTTCCGAACTCTGCCGCAAAACGAAACAAACAAGATGAATACAGCAAGGTTTTGCGCTCCGGGTAGGAATGAACCCCAGCGATGAAACACCCTACGTTGAGGGGGCGGCGCGTAAGCCCTTCCATGATGGGCCCGTGCAGGAACACCTTGCGTGGGGCAGGCCGGCCCAGGCAGACCGGGTCTCAAAAACTTGTTACAAAATTTTGGGCTGCCTGGACCCCCTCAGCTCCCCTGACCTCCTTGGGCCCGGACCTATCTTGAACCCGGGACTAAACCCGCGAAGGCCCTCCTGGCTCCAACTTGCCTTTGTGCCGGTTGCCCAAATTCTGGGCCTTTCTACCCTTCTGCCTGTGGCTTTTATTGTGAACCTGAACCAGGCTGGGAGAACACCGTGACGGAATGAAGAAGTTTTATGGAAAGTAAGCAGTTGGCTTGAGTTTAGGCCTAAACCCTAAAAGGAATAGGTTTGGGTGGCTTTGCCGCCTCGGACAGCGCGGGGTGGGAGAAAAATGTTAGATGGCCTTCCACAATCGGGCCAAAGCTGCTCTTCGCGCCTTACGAAGCTTTCGAGCTTGTTCCAAAACCTAACCTTCACAGCATCTACGGCCTACCGCAGCAAACCCTAAACCCTAAACCCTAAACCCTAAACCCTAAACCCTAAACCCCAAACCCTAAACCCTAAACCCTAAACCCTAAACCCTAAACCCTAAACCCTAAACCCTAAACCCTAAACCTAAACCCTAACCCTAAACCCTAAACCCTAATCCCAGGTCCCAGCAGCTTGGTGAGACCTTGGCGGAGGCGGAGAAGAGAGAGCTGAGGGCCCGCAAGGCCAGCAGCAGTTGTTAAAGTTTAGGCTAGGTTTTCAGGTTTAGGGTTTAGGGTTTAGGGTTTAGGGTTTAGGGTTTAGGGTTTAGGGTTTAGGGTTTAGGGTTTAGGGTTTAGCGTTTAGGGTTAGGCTTTAGGCTTTAGGCTTTAGGATTTACAGGGGTTGCAGGGTTTACAGGGTTTAAAGGGTTTACAGGCGTTACAGGGTTTACAGGGTTTACAGGTTTTACAGGGCTTGCAGGGTTTACAGGTTTTACAGGGTTTACAGGGTTTACAGTTTACACGGTTTGCAGGGTTTAGGGTTTAGGGAGTTTAGGGCTCAGGGTTTAGATTTCGGGTTGAGGGATTTTGCGGTTTAGGGTTTACAGGTTTTGGGTTTTTTCGGGCTTTTCGGGCTAGATTTCGGGTTGAGGGATTTTGCGGTTTAGGGTTTACAGGTTTTGGGTTTTTTTTCTGGCTTTTCGGGCTTCGGGTTTTGGGAGGCCAGGTTTTTTTAAGGTGTGGCTCGGCCTTCTTTTCTTTATTAAAAGGTGTGGCTCGGGTCCCCTGGTCCTCTGGTCCGCCGGTCCTACCTGCGGTTTCCGGTCCTCTGGTCCTCTCCGGTCCCATGGTTCCCTGGTCCCGTGGTCCCGTGGTCCCGTGGTGGTCCCGTGGTCCTCTCGCCCTGGTCGTCCTGGGGTCCATTTCTGCAACCGTGCAAGCTGTTTCAAAGAATATGAAACCATCCAAACCGCTTCAAGGCCTCAACCCCCTGCTTATTAGGCCGTGCTGCTTGCGTCAAAGCATATGACCCCCTTCCAAACCTATCGTGCGGGCATTGTGTTTGCAAATGGGGCTTTTAAGCCGTGCACGCTTCCTTCAAACTCGCGTCCAAACCCATCGTGCGAGCATTCTGTTTGCAAATGGTTATGAGCCCTCAAGCACCCCGCTTTCGTGAGCCGTGCACCAGCTGAATCCTTTCCAAACCCTTCGTTCGAGCATTGTGTTTGAAATGAGGGGGGTTGCGCCCCCGGCCCCCCCCCCCGCCCCCCCCAACCCCCCCGTTTTTTGAGGCCGTGCAAGCTTGCGTCAAAGCATATCCCACGCTCTTTTAAGCCGTGCAAGCTTGCCGCAAATGGAGGGGTCTGGGCCCCCCCCCAACCCCCCGGTGCAAGCTTGCGTCAAAGCATATGAATCCCTTCCGTTTGTGTTGTCTCATGCTGGCACAGCATTTGCAGCTTCTGAGAATTCAGCAATGGCGCCTTTACAGTATTTGCAGCATCTGAAAACTCTGAAATATGTATACAGTGTGCCTCTGCAAAGGCAGAGATGCTGCAATTTACAGTATTTACAGCCTCTAAACTCGCAGAAATGCGGCTACTTACTGTACAGTATTTGAAGCCTCTGACAAAGCAGAAATGCTGCTATTTACAGTATTTGCAGCCTCTGAAAACGCAGAAATGCTGCTATTGACAGTATTTGAAGCCTCTGACAACGCCGAAATGTATTTGTAGCTTGTGACTACGCAGAAATGCTGCTGCTATTTACAGTATTTGAAGCCTCTGATTACACAGAAAGGCTGCTATTTTCAGTAATTGCAGCCTTTGACTACGCAGAGAGGCTGCTGCTATTTACAGTACTTGCAGCCTCTGGAAATGCAGAAATGCTGCTATTTACAGTATTGGCAGCCTCTGAAAACACAGAAATGCTGCTATTTGCAGTATTTGCCAAGCCAAGCCGAGCCACGCCTTAAAAAAAAACATGCCCGAGCCACACCTTTACACAAAAAGACCCTCCGCCGGTTTTGGGAGTTTAGGGTTTCGGGTTTGAGGTTTGAAGGGTATTGGTAGAGCTCCTTGCTGCTTATATCGCGGAGAAGCCGAGCCAAAAGCATGATTTGTTGCAAGGATTCCAGGTATATAGGGTTTGGGAGTTGAGGGCTTGCCTGGGAATTCATCCAACTAGGGACCCTCTCATCGGTATCTTTCCTAATCGGATCCATTGCAAACACGACCCCCCAAAATGGGCCTCTGAGGTAAGGTTAGAGGGCTAGGGCATTAGAGCTTGAGGGCCTTTGTGCTTGAGGGTTTGGAGTTACGGGGGGGGGGGGGGGGTGTTGAAGTTCATGCAATATGTCATGGGCGCTTCAGACCTCATGCAGGCGAGTGGACACACTGCCTTTGGGGATGAGAGTTCAAGGATAAGGGTTCTTTGGGGGATCAGCATGTGGCCTGAAACCCTGAACCCTAAACCCTCTAGAAGCCCCAAGCCCGAAACCAACAGTCTCCTTCCAAACACCAAAGCCTGCACCCAACTCTGCGCTCAGCCCCGGTTTAGGGTTTGGGGTTCAGGGTTTCAGGGTTTAGGGTTTAGGGTTTAAGGTTTAAGGTTAGGGTTGAGGGTTTAGGGTATTCGGGGGCCTGAAATTTATCCGACCGCAAGGGAGCGATCAGCGCCGAGGCGGACAGCAGCTGGCAGGCGAGAGCAAATCCCCCGCCACCTAATATCACACCCGAAACCCCAAACCTTTCAGGGTTTAGGGTAAAGGGGCTTAGGGCTTAGGGAACCCTAAACCCTAGCAGCAACGTTTCAGGGACCTCCTTGTTTATTGGGGGCTCCTCCTTGAACGCACAGAACAGAACAGAGCAGATAAGAATCCTAAACCCTAAACCCTAAACCCTAAACCCTAAACCCTAACCCCTAAACTTTACCCTAAACCCTAACAGAACAGAACAGAGCAGCTCTTCCTTGAAATATGCAAGCCCAAAATCGCTGCACCCTCGCCCTTAATGCCCGGAATGCATACACCACAAACCCGAAACCCTAAACTCTAAGCTCTAAACCCTGAGCCCGAAGCCTATAAGCCTTAAACCTTAAACCCCAAACCCTAAACCCTAAACCCCAAACCCTAAACCCCAAACCCTAAACCCTAAACCCTAAACGCGAACCCAGCTCCGTTGCAAGGCTTGGCGCTCGCTGCATCCGCGCATGGACGCCTCCTTGGAGCCTGGGCGTCGCAACAGGCGAACGATGGGGCTCTCTGTACACCTTAAAGCGGGTTTAGGGTTTAGGGTTTAGGGTTTAGGGTTTAGGGTTTAGGGTTTAGGGCTTAGGGCTTAGGGTTTAGGGCTTAGGGTTTACGGTTTTGGCATTCTACCTTAATATCATGTCAAGGATCCCTATGTAATTGCAGGTACCCTAAACCCGAAACCCGAAACCCCTAAACCCTAATCCCTAAACCCTAAACCCAGATTGTCCTTAGGCTAGGGGTATCGGGCTCCTTCAACCTGTTTATCAAGCTGATGGCTCTCCGGCGCGTAGAGCTTTTGTCCTTGTGAAGCCCGAAAGAATCGCGGAAAGGGGTTTAGGGTTTAGGGTTTAGGGTTTAGGGTTTAGGGTTAGGACGCGCCTTCGGACGCCGGAATCCACAACAATCACAGCGCCCCGCCCCTTCATCCCTTGAGAAAAACCATGTGGATTGCGGTCTTCCTTTTGATCCCTTCGGAAATCAGTCCTAAACCCTGCTTGGAGGTTCATGGTACTTAATAACCCATTATAACTGTACTTGTAAGCCACTTGTAAGCCCCCTAAGTGCCCTAATATGGTTTTCAGTACAGTTATAATTTGTTAATAAGTACCCTGAACCTCCAAGCAAACCTCGGCGACCATCCCCATGTTTTTTGCCAAAGCCCTGAAACCTACACCCGAAAACCCATTTTTGTAAGGCCCAAACACTAGGAAGCCCCCAGAAAGCCAGGTCCTGGGCCAACGCCCCCCCCCTCCCCCCCGCCCCTTCAGTTCAGGGCCCTGAGAAACCCAGGACGTGGGCCACGCTTTTTCAGGAGGGGAGGCTTCACAGACTCTACCTTCAGGGGATTTGGGGATTCGTTTAAAAAAGGCTGTAGGGAATTGGTCCTCTAAAGTCCTCCACCCAAGCCCTCAGTTAAACCCTAAGCTCTAACCCCTTAATTAACCCTAAACCCGTGCCTTGAGTTCTCAGGGAAGGCTTCGGTCACAGACCCGGGCCTTGACTCTATCCAGGGTTAAGGGGCTGTCCTAGTCTACTATTTGCTTAGGGTTTAGGGTTTAGGATAAGATAATAGCCCCTATACTACCCTTATAAGGAAGAATGCTATCATTTTGTTGGGGGGGCTTAAGCAGTTCGCAGTAGTTGAAGCCTCCATGACAGAGTCCAGCTCAGGAAGGCAACAAGGACGTGGATGTGGAGGTGCTCCGGGTGGAGGTGCAGACCAGAAGCCCTACATAGGCTGTACTTGGAGGTTCATGGTACTTAATGACCCAACTATGGCACTCATAACCTATGAGAACCATGTTAGGGCACTTAAGGGGCATAGGTACACTTATAGCTGGGTTATAAGTACCATGAACCTCCAAGTACCCCTAAATCCTAAACCCTAAACCCCCTAAACCCTAAACCCTAAACCCCAAACCCTAAACCCTAAACCCTAAACATCCAAGTAGGATTTAGGGCTACAAGGCCCATCATGGCCCTATAAACCCGAAACATGTACGGTTCGGCTTTGGGCTGTGGATGTGAGCTTGGTGCAGAACCTCCTGCCATTTAGGGTTTAGGGTTTAGGGTTTAGGGTTTAGGGTTTAGGGTTTAGGGTTTAGGGTTAGGGGTTTATAGGGTTTAGGGTTTAGGGTTTAGGGTTTAGGGTTAGGGTTTAGGGTTTTTAGGGTTTAGGGTTTAGGGTTTAGGGTTTAGGGTTTAGGGTTTAGGGTTCGGGGCAACTCCTACAGGAACCGAACGCAGAGGGCAGATGCAGCTTTTGGGGTCTAGGCTTCTCATACCACTGTGCAGCCCAGAGTTCCTACCCTAAACCCTAAACCCCAAACCCTAAACCCTAAACCCTAAACCCCAAACCCTAAACCCTAAAATCCCTGTAAGGCATCAAGTCGGAAGAAGCCCCTAGAAGCCGTACAAAAACCTTACTCAAGGCATCTTCGGAATCCAAGGTCGGCCCCGCAAAGAAGCGCCGCTGAGCCCCTAAGTGCGTTTGCGCTCCGCGTTCTCGACCCCCCCACCCCCCCCCGGGTTTAGGGTTTAGGGTTTAGGGTTTAGGGTTTAGGGTTTAGTACCACACTCCAACCATAAACCCTGACCCTGAACCCCAAACCCACCCTGAACCACGGGGGTGGAGGCAAACACTAAACCCTGATTCTGAACCGCCAGCATAGCCCTAAGCCGTGAACCCTAGGCTTTAAATTTTAAACCCGTCATGAACGAAACCGACCATGGTTCACACAGGGTATGTAAGGGGGTTCCCCAATTATGTGTTTTGACAGAACAATAAAGTACTGCTTAGCCAAATATGTACATATAGGTACTATACGAATGTAAAGTGTAACCTCTTGCAATGGAACAATGTCGCACAATCTTCTACATCAAGGGACCAACTAATAGCCCACTGAGAATGAAGCACAAGGGAGGGAGGAGGCGGAGGGGGGCGGGGGCCTGTAAATACGCTCTAGGGACTCTACTTGAAGGTTCATGGTACTTACCAACCAATTATAACTGTACTTCTAACCCTACTTATAATGCCCCTAAAGGGCCTTATAGGGGTTATCCCAATTGTAAGTAGGGTTATAAGCCCAGTTATAATTGGTTAGTAAGTACCATGAACCTTCAAGTAGGTTTAGGGTTTAGGGCCGACCACTGCCCCGAAGGACCTGGACGATCCGTTCTACACATTCACTCTTCCGGCTCAGCCCGAGGACGGTTTAGGGTTTAGGGTGCTTTGAAGCTAGAAGGGCTTAAGGATGAGGACGTTAGGGTTTTAGGGTTTGGGGTTTAGGTTTAGGTTTGGTTTTAGTAGGGTTTTAGGGTTAGGGTTTTAGGATAGAGGGTAGTTGGGGCGGGGTCGTTGTTGGGTTGGGTTTAAGGTTCTAAGGTTTAAGGCTTACGAGTTTGGAATGGATGTTGTGAGTTCCGCAACTGCTTCATACCCTGGTTCCAACTGCAACTAGTTTTCAGAGTTGTTAAAAAGGTATACGTAGATGCCCTGGATTTGCGGCTTAAGTCTTGAGTATGAGATGGCTACGGAATGGTTTGCTTAAGAGATGTCTTTGGGTTTTTTTGCTGTTTAGGATCTCATGCATGCCGCTGTCTCCTCGCAATTGCCTTTACATCATACATCCGTAAACCCTAAAATCTTACACCGAAGCCATGAACTCTTGACTCCAAACCCAGTGCCCAGTGCTCTCAAGGAGTGGCACAAGCCTGACAAGCGATGGAAGGCCTCAATGGATTTTCGGCCTGGGGTTTATTGACCCCTCCTACCTCTAATCTCTGTTCACTTGGAGTACTACTGGGCGTAGCTTCGGGGAGGTTGTGTTCCTATGTTCCCGGACAGGCCATGTCCTCACGTTCTCCGTGCGAAACGGCATAGATTTAGGGTTGAACTATGCAGTCCTTAAATGCCTCAGTAGGTTTTAAAATGGCCCCTGCCTAACCCTACGGTTCCTCGCAAGGGTCCCTCGAAACCCTAAACCCTAAACCCTAAACCCTAAACCCTAAACACCCTGCACCTTCCACCCCAAACCTATTAGACCCGCAAACCTATGCCGTGCGGAGATCGGTGGCCTCATCTTCGGCCCTACTAGCGATGGCCGGTCGGGAGGCCTTTGCCGTGGTAGCCCAGTGATGCCCTTTAGGGAGGGTTTAGGGTTTAGGGTTTAGGGTTTAGGGTTTAGGGTTTAGGGTTCAGGGTTCAGGGTTCAGTGTTCAGGGTTCAGGGTTTACTGTTTTGCACTTCTGTTGGTTCTAAAAAATCAAAACAAGGGACCCTGACGATGATATGGTTACTGGCCTACCAAGTCTCAATTTGCATGCACAAGGCCTGGTTTCAGGATTTACAGAAGCAAGCCTCAGATTGCTTGTTGCTGTCTTTTTGCTTTGTTGGTTGCTTTCCTTTCGTTCGGTTTCCTCATATGATGAAGCAATCTACTTTAATTTCATAATTTGGGATGCTCCCCCTGATACTAGCATTCCCTAGTAGGGATTACAATAGAGGGTACTATAATTCCTATTAAGGACTGTTCGTATAGAAGAAACATCCCAAGTCATAATGACAACCACACAGAGGTTCTCCATTGGAAGCAGCCATGCGAAAGCAAGTTGACTGAATGGGGTGGATGGAATGTCACCTTAGGGAGAGCGCTTGATTAGCCAAAAAACCCTAACCCGAACACTGAAGCTGTTAAAGCCTTAAAATTCCCAAATCCCCAAGACTCTCAGCCCTAAGCCTACCAAGCCCTCTAAGCACTTGGAGCTTGCGGGCACTGATAACGCAGAGGGTTTAGGAGTTGTGAACTTTAGGGTTAGGCTTCGGGGTTCAGGGAGTTAGAGTTTATCAGGGAACTCTACCTCGGACCCTTAAGGTTGTACCCTCGGGTGTGTGGACCCGTTTGTCCAAGGTAGGATAAGGGGGGCCCTGAAGCGGGAACCCTTCTGAACCCTCTTCTGGCTCTCTTAAACAGGGACCTTATTGAGAGGGTCTATCTCTATAAGGCCCCCCTAGTGCTATCCCTTATTTTGAAGGGAAGATGTGGGCCATTTTTATGAGGCTTATGTGCAGGGAATCTTAGGGGCACATCCTGAGAGGTCCAAGTTTGACTCTCCTGAGTTTTAGGGGTTTGGGTTTTTTCCGGCCATTTTTGGAAAAGGGTTATGCATCGTAGATTGCCTCGTTGGCCACCGAAGCATGTCCGTTGGGCTCTACGTACACCCTACCTCACGCATGTGCCCGCCCAGATTATATGTTCGTTTCCAGGATGTGAATCGTTGAAGGATCCAGCTTGAGGATGTGTATCTTGCTGGCCCTACCCAGAATCTGCTGCAGTGTGGGGCGTACTTGCACAACCACTGCAGTTCTTTTGGCCAACCTGCTTCGCACTTGGCAGATGACGGTGAGGCGATGCGCTAAAGTGCTCATCGGGGACTGCAGGGCTGCATCGTCCCCAAAGCCAGACGGGCCAGGGGACACGACGGGAAGGCCGTACATGCAGCATCACGCAGCTCATTCTGGTTGTTGTGTTGGTCCAGGCAGGGTGAGGATGTGCTTTGCTGATCGTAGACGCAACCAGTGTTTGTTGGAAGTTGCGCTTGTCCAATTTGATGTGGAACTTACTTTCAACTTGCTTGCCCTACCCAGAGTCTGCTGAAGTGCGGCTGTTGCAAAGCAGACTTCACACCGTTGGCCGGGTGTGGGGCGTACATGCGCACCCACTGCAGTCCTTTTGGCCAACCTGCTTCGCACTTGGCAGATGACGGTGAGGCGATGCGCTAAAGCGCTCATCGGGGACTGCAGGGCTGTGTCGTTCCTAAGCCAGACGGGCCGGGGGACACAACGGGGAGGCCGCTCATGCAGCATCAGGGTGTTTATTGTGGTTGTTGTGTTGGTTCCGGGAGGGTGAGGATGTGCTATGCTGATTGTAGCCGCAGCCAGTGTCTGTTGGAACGTGCGCTTGTCCAAATTGATGTGGAACTTACTTGCAGCTTGCTTGCCCTACCCAGAGTCTGCTGAAGTGCGGCTGTTGCAAAGCAGACTTCACACCGTTGGCCGGGTGTGGGGCGTATGTGCCGATTCACTGCAGTCCTTTTGGCCAACCTGCTTCGCACTTGGCAGATGACGGTGAGGCGATGCGCTAAAGTGCTCATCGGGGACGGCAGGGCTGCATCGTCCCCAAAGCCAGACGGGCCGGGGGACACGACGGGAAGGCCGCTCGTTCAGCATCATATATACTGTTTACGTTGCTTGTCGTGTTGTTCGAGGCAGGGTGAGGATGTGCTTTGCTGATAGTAGACTCAACCAGCGTCTTTTGGAAGGTGCGCTTGTCCAATTTGGTGTGGAACTTACTTGCAACTTGCTTGCCCTACCCAGAGTCTGCTGAAGTGCGGCTGTTGCAAAGCAGACTTCACACCGTTGGCCGGGTGTGGGGCGTATGTGCCGATTCACTGCAGTCCTGTTGGCCAACCTGCTTCGCACTTGGCAGATGACGGTGAGGCGATGCGCTAAAGTGCTCATCGGGGACGGCAGGGCTGCATCGTCCCCAAAGCCAGACGGGCCGGGGGACACGACGGAAGACCGCTCGTTCAGCATCATATATACTGTTCACGTTGCTTGTCGTGTTGTTCGAGGCCGGGTGAGGATGTGCTTTGCTGATAGTAGACCCAACCAGCGTCTTTTGGAAGGTGCGCTTGTCCAATTTGGTGTGGAGCTTACTTGCAACTTGCTTGCCCTACCCAGAGTCTGTTGAAGTGCGGCTGTTGCAAAGCAGACTTCACACCGTTGGCCGGGTGTGGGGCGCACGTGCACAACCACTACAGTCCTTTTGGCCAACCTGCTCGCACTTGGCAGATGACGGTGAGGCGATGCGCTAAAGTGCTCATCGGGGACTGCAGGGCTGCATCGTCCCCAAAGCCAGACGGGCCAGGGGACACGCCGGGAAGGCCGCACATGCAGCATCACACAGCTCATTCTGGTTGTCGTGTAGTTCGAGGCAGGGTGAGGATGTGCTTTGCTGATAGTAGACTCAACCAGCGTCTTTGGGAAGGTGCGCCTGTCCAATTTGGTGTGGAACTTACTTGCAACTTGCTTGCCCTACCCAGAGTCTGCTGAAGTGCGGCTGTTGCAAAGCAGACTTCACACCGTTGGCCGGGTGTGGGGCGTACGCGCACAACCACTACAGTCCTTTTGGCCAACCTGCTTCGCACTTGGCAGATGACGGTGAGGCGATGCGCTAAAGTGCTCATCGGGGACTGCAGGGCTGCATCGTCCCCAACAAAGCCAGACGGGCCAGGGGACACGACGGGAAGGCCGCACATGCAGCATCACGCAGCTCATTCTGGTTGTCGTGTTGTTCGAGGCAGGGTGAGGATGTGCTTTGCTGATAGTAGACTCAACCAGCGTCTTTTGGAAGGTGCGCTTGTCCAATTTGGTGTGGAACTTACTTGCAACTTGCTTGCCCTACCCAGAGTCTGCTGAAGTGCGGCTGTTGCAAAGCAGACTTCACACCGTTGGCCGGGTGTGGGGCGTACGCGCACAACCACTACAGTCCTTTTGGCCAACCTGCTTCGCACTTGGCAGATGACGGTGAGGCGATGCGCTAAAGTGCTCATCGGGGACTGCAGGGCTGCATCGTCCCCAACAAAGCCAGACGGGCCAGGGGACACGACGGGAAGGCCGCACATGCAGCATCACGCAGCTCATTCTGGTTGTCGTGTTGTTCGAGGCAGGGTGAGGATGTGCTTTGCTGATAGTAGACTCAACCAGCGTCTTTTGGAAGGTGCGCTTGTCCAATTTGGTGTGGAACTTACTTGCAACTTGCTTGCCCTACCCAGAGTCTGCTGAAGTGCGGCTGTTGCAAAGCAGACTTCACACCGTTGGCCGGGTGTGGGGCGTACGCGCACAACCACTACAGTCCTTTTGGCCAACCTGCTTCGCACTTGGCAGATGACGGTGAGGCGATGCGCTAAAGTGCTCATCGGGGACTGCAGGGCTGCGTCGTTCCTAAGCCAGACGGGCCGGTGGACACAGCGGGGAGGCCGCTCATGCAGCGTCATGAATTTCGCTGCTCATTCTGCTCGTCGCGTTGGTCCAAGCAGGCTGAGAATGTGCGTTGCTGTTTGCCTTGATGACGAAGTCATATTTTTCGTTCTTGATTTGCAACATGCTGCGCTACCGCTATCCAGAGTCAGCTGAAGTGTGGCTGTTGCGAAACAAACTTCACGCCGCTGGCCTCGTTTGGGGCCTTCGCTGGAGGTGCCTTCGGCCGGTTCCAGTCCATGAAGACTTGGATGAAGCGGGTCGGTACCCGAGATGGAGGAAGATTTATTTTGGTCCTCCCTGTGGACCCTACATAGGAAGGGCTGCATTTAAGCTGGCCCCCCTAAACCCTAAGCCCCAAACCCTAAACCCCAGACCCCCAAGAAAGAACATACAGGGTCTCACAGGGATGAGAGGCACGATCCTTCAACCTTGGGGCCGTGTTTTGCCTTGCTTGGTCACGGGGGCTTATCCTAAGGCCTAGAACTTACTTCCCTAAACCCTAAACCCTTTTTAATTCCCCGAAAATCTAAACCCTAAACCCTAAACCCTAAGTCCTAACCCTAAACCCACAATCCCCAAAAGCCTAAACCGTTAGGGTGGCTTTTCGGGATCCGAAAGTTAAAAAGAAGCCGCGGTCCAGGCTTGGCTTAGGGATGTTTAGGGCTGGCTGCCGGGTTTGGGTTTAGATGGGCTTAGGGTTTAGGGTTTAGGGTTTAGGGCTTGGGGGGAGGTGTTAGGGCTTTAGGGTTTAGATGGGGTTAGGGTTGATTTTGGACTTGGAAAGATGGGGCGTGCTTTAGCAAAATCTCTACACAATCCCAAACATTCCAAGCTTGCCTTCTAGGCGGCTCCAAAGGTATCAAGGAGGTGGATGCGTCATGCAAGCCTAGGGCTTATCAAGGGACGAAAGGAGGGACCCTTATAAGGGACCTTAGGGGTTCTTTGCGGGCTATTTAGGTATACAGGGACTATTTAGGGGAATATAGGGGATAGATTAAGGGTCCCTTCAAGGGGTCCCTCCTTTTCCTTCAGGGGGTCCCTCCTTTTGCTCCTTAAGCTTAGGTTTCAGGGTTCAAGGGTTTGCGGAACTAGGGCCCTTCTAACTTTATGTTGTTAATCAAGATGGGTTTAGGGTTTAGGGTTTAGCGTTGAACCAACGAAGACAACGGTTCCTTGACTTTCCGAGACACAGCGGGAGAACCTCTGGCCTTAGGCCCCAAGCGCATCTCAAGAAGGTGAGATGGCCCCTCGCCCCTCGCCAAGTTGCGGTTGGTGCGACTCCACCTTTCCGGACGACCGGAAGTGTTCGTGGGCGTAGCACTGGAGAACGCCCACCTGTTATCAGTTTCGCTAACTGGCAGGCTGAGCCGCGAGGTGGAGCTGCTGGAATTCGACATGGGCAAGCGCCCATGGAACTCTACGTCTTCCAGCAGCTCAGAGGGTTTCATAGGGTCGAACGTGGTAGCCCGAAAGCCCTCAGCACCCTGAACACCCTACAAACCCTCCATACCATAAAAAAAACCCTAAGCATCCTAAAGACCCTAAAGACCTCACATGCCCTAAAGACCCTAATAGCCTAAACGTCCGAGTCCTAAAGACCCTAAAGGCCCTAACGACCCTAAAGACCCAGAGAGGATGAGCCTCGTACCTTTGGGAAGCCCCCCAGAACTCCTCGAGCCCAAAGCAACAACGCCCGAGCTTTTGCAGGCCGCAAACGACCCTCTTCGCCGACCCGGAAGTCGAAATCCTGAACCCCAACTCTGGACCATTATAAACCCCTATATAAACCCCTATATAAACCCCTATATAAACCCCTATATAAACCCCTATATAAACCCCTGTAAACCCCGGCCCCTTCGGGAGTCCAGCCCCACAACAACCCCCAAGCCCTAAAGTCCTGAAGCCCTAAACCCCTGAAGCGCGTAGCCAAAGAAAGGGGTGTTGGGCTTCGGGCTTAGGGTTGGCACCCTAGACCCCTGAACCATTAAAACTGTACATGTACCACAGGTTATGCAAGGGAGGGTGCCACGAGAGTCCCCCCCCTCCCTAAACCCTAAACCCTAAACCCTAAACCCTAAACCCTAAACCCTAAACCCTAAACCCTAAACCCTAAACCCTAAACCCTAAACCCTAAACCCTAAACCAGAAACCCTAAACCCTAAACCCTAAACCCTAAACCCTAAACCCTAAACCCTAAACCCTAAACCCTAAACCCTAAACCCTAAACCCTAAACCCTAAACCCTAAACCCTAAACCCTAAACCCTAAACCCTAAACCCAAACCCTAACCCTAAACCCTGAACTCCAAGCAGCCTCTGCCTTCCATGCCCAAGGGCCGCCAGGGCCACAGCGCAGGGCCCAGAGCTCGGTTTCAAGTGTTGGGGACCCTGCCTACACCTCTCCTTGGCCCTAAACCCTAAACCCTAAACCCTAAACCCCTAAACCCTAAACCCTAAACCCTAAACCCTAAACCCTAAACCCTAAACCCTAAGCCCTAAGCCCTAACTAAGCCCTTATCCCTAAAAGGGACCTGCAAGTACTTGGAGGACCGGGGCATTTGAGAAGGAGGTACAACGTAGAGTTAGAAGTTCCCTCAAGGAAACTCGAATGCTCGAATGAGGCTAGCCTTCTCTATAACCGTACTTGAGAAATACCTACCGCGTCCCCCGATGCTCTACATGCTTGTAGGTCCTTTTCTGGGGTCGCCGAAGTTCATGGTGAGTATGAGGTCCCCCCCCCCCCCCCCCCCAAACAAAAATCAATCAAGACAAATCGGAACTGCAAGTGGTCCAGGTAGGGAACCTAAGCGGTGCATAGCGGTGCCCTCAATTCTTTGTTTGGGGGCCTGGGTTTAGGGTGGATTGAAGTTGGGGGCTCTCAGGACACCTACCATTGTATTTTGTTGTTTCTTGGGATGGGAATCCCTTTAAGGACTGATAGTAGAAGGTGGAACATCCCAAGTTGTTTCTGTTAAAGAAACGAATGCAACAATCAAAATCATTGCTTCCCATTCAACTGAACTCCAAACCCTGAACCCCGGTCCCTAAACCAGAGACCCCAAGTCTCAAACCCCAAGCCCCAGACCCGAAACCCTAAACCCTAAACCGCCAATCCCGAAGGCACTAAAACCGTAAAACCCTAAATCCAATACCCTCAACCGTAAACCCTAAATCTTTAATTTTGAATCCCCTGTTCTCTGATGCTTGGCAGCTCCTAGGCGGCCGGCCTGACGCCGGCTGAAGGGTCGGAGCCCGTAGGTTCAAATTTGGGGTTTAAGGTTTAGGGTTTAGGGGTTTAGGGTTTAGGGGTTGAGGGTTAAGGGGTTGAGGGTTAAGGGGTTGAGGGTCTAGGGTTTAGTCGGGAATGCGGGGCTAGGGTGCAGAGTTTAGGGTTCAGGGTTGGGAACATCGAATTGCGAGCCAGTAGCCATACATCGAGGAGTATTCCTGAAACCAACCATAATTCTGACCTGAGCCTGATTCTTTAATTACCGGGTATAGTGCTCTGTGGGTTTAGGCTTCGGCTGTTCGGCTTCAGGGAGACTTCCAATGTGTGCAGCAGCGAGCCTATCATGGCTTGCTGCGTCTCACGCCACTCCGGCAAAGGGGGAACGCACTCCAAACGCCCTCCATCCCATCCCTAAACCCTCAAACCTAAAGCTGCAAAGCAAGACCAGGTGTTTGGTCCCGAAATCTAGGGCAGGTACCAACCCACAACAGAACACTGAGCTGGATTCGCCTGTGGATTGCTGAAGCTATTTAACCTCACAAAGACAGCGCACCCATTCTTAGCTCGAAGCCCTATTCAGCACCTGGAGTCATGGGACGAAGCTCTGTCGGATTCGGCAGCCTTTCCATCATCCGTACGTGATTTTCTTCCCGCCTCTCATACAAGTGCTTGTTTGGACGGACCAGGCCGGACCCGAAACCCAGCAACGAGTCTGTGCTTGGGCCGATACCCTTCCAGAGATGAAGCAAAGACCGGGTTTAGCGTTTAGGGTTTAGGGTTTAGGGTTTAGGGTTCAGGGTTTAGGGTTTAGGGTTCAGGGTTTAGGGTTTAGGGTTTAGGTCTGCAACCGGGAGCCGAGGTCATGACAGCCTTAATTGCCAAAGCAGCCGAAACACAGCTCCGGTAGTTTCCTATGCCTGAAGGGTTCAAGGGTTTAGGGCTTTATGAGTCCAATCCCGAAACCCAGAGACCTTTCTTCGAAGCTTCTAAACCCTAAACCCTAAACCCTAAACCCTAAACCCTAAACCCTTGAGGCCTGTGTTTGGAGTGCGATCCCCTGCTTGTTGGGACTAGGAGGAACCTTCCCCAGTTTTCTTGAAGTTCTCCGAAGGAGCTATTTCTGACATGGGGAAGGGACGAGGGCCTGCAGCTTGAGATGTGGGTTTAGCCCTAAACCCTAAACCCTAAACCTTAATCCTAAACCCTAAACCCTCCCTGGGGGGTTCTTAGGCTTTATAGGGTTTTATGGTGTATAGGGTTTGCAGGGCTTAGGGGTTTAAACAGTGGGGTCTGGGTTGTAGGGTGGGAACATGCGCGCCAACTGCAGCTCCGACATGGCGTTCCCGGAGAAACTGCCAAGGTGGCAGGCCCTAGTTGAGGGTTGAGGGTTTAGGGTTTAGGGTTTAGGGTTTAGGGTTTAGGGTTTAGGCGCCCCTGAATGAGTAAGTAGGGTTCGTAAGGTGGGTTATGGGGATTATACGACGGTTGCTAGGGTATACTAAGTAGACTGAACTAAGTCGAAAGAGCTTCCAAGTAAACCCCCAAACCTAGTCCCTGAAGCTGTCCCTAACCCCCCTAAACCAAACCTCCCCAAACCCATCCATCCACCAATCTCCGGCCCCCCCCCCCCCCCCCCCACCCCCAGCCGGCCCCCGAAACCATAAACCGAAATCCTGAAACATAAAACAAATCCAACACCCGAAAACCTGAAGCTTTCCAGATCTCGTGTTTCAGGATTAGGCCATGGGGCTCAGGCCTCTATTGCCGTTGCTTTTGAGTTTAGGGTTCAGGGCTTAGGGTTTAGGGTTTAGGGTTTAGGGTTTAGGGTTTAGGGTTTAGGGTTTAGGATAACTCGCTTTCGATCTTGAGCATGGAGCCCCTCATAGGCACTCCATCGGCCGTGCTGGTGGCAAAGGAGCAGGGCACCTGCATATCACCCGAGCCGGGAGTCGCAAAATGTTGCCGCGCCTTGCTTCGGAACTTCTGAAGGTAGCCCTAAACCCTAAACCCTAAACCCTAAACCCTAAACCCCTGAGACGCACCCCACGTCCCCAAACTCCTCAACCGTAAGCCTAAACCTTAAGCCCAGAACCCTACCTTGGGGACCAAATGAACCACAAACAGGTTCAGGGTTTCGGGTTTATCCTCAAAGCACACCCAAACCCCCTACAGTGCTCACACTCCCCCGGTTACCCAACAGCAGAAGCCCAAGACACTTCAGGACCCCCAACAGAGCACGGAAGATCCCAAAAGAATGCCCCTAAACCCTAAGCCCTAAACCCTAAACCCCGAAACCCTAAACCCGAAACCCTAGACCCCAAGAAACGCAAAACCCGCACCCCGTACTCACCCTGCTCCACAAGGTGCAATCCCCAGCTCCCCGAATCTTGCCGCATCCTCAGAGGGTTTAGGGTTTAGGGTTAAGGCTTTAGGGTTTAGGGTTTAGGGATTCAGGGTTTGGGGATTCAGGGTTTAGGGTTTGGGGTTTAATTAGGGCTGTCTGTCCACCCCTGCGCCTCGCTTAGGCTACCCCCTTTTATCAGGCTGGTTGACGGAATTAGGTCTCATTGATTAGGTCTCATTGAGGGTTTAGACCCCAAACCCTAAACCCTAAGCCCGGCCCGCATTCCTTTGGTGTAGGGGTCAAGCAAGAAGGCTTCTGGTACCCGCTTCACTCTTACTGAACTTTCTGAGCAGGGAAGGAGGACCCTATACCCTTTACGGGGTGATACAGGTACTGTATTTCCTCCCTACTTTTGAACCAGTTAGTTTTGCAAGGTTACTCTTGGACCAAGTCCAGTAAGCAGAACCATTCAGAATTCACCTTACTCGGGGCGTAGGCTTGGGGCTTGGGCATACTGAGTCAGTAGCCTTGAGAGGCGCGGGGGAGGGGAGGGGAGTGTACTCCCTGAATAATTTAAAAATGTAACTTTGCCTGACACCTGGCATGTCAGTCTTCGGCTGGTTTGGTGTATGGGTGTTCAAGGTTTGCTGTGGATATGCAGGGACCCTAAACCCCAAACCCTAAACCCCAAACCCCAGCCCTGGCCCTACACTCTGCACTTCTGTTTCTATTGCCAGTCCTTCGTTCGCTCGGCCTCCAGGTAGACCTCAGCGACGCCCAATCATACATCCAGACTACCAGAACCTCTACCTCCAACAGGGTTTGATGGTTGAGGGTTTAGATGTGCTTTTTGTTTTAAGCCCTAAACCCTAAACCCTAAACCCCAAACCCTAAACCCCAAACCCCAAACCCTAGTCCTTCAACCCTGGGTTTAGGGCTTGGGGCTTAGAATTCGGGGTTTTTGGCTGAGAGTTTGGGGGTCTGTTTCATCTATGGCCTGCCAGGAGAAGGTGCCGGCCCATGGTTCCGAGGACGGATGCCGCCGGTGGGTTGCATGTACCCTAAACCCTAAACCCTAAACCCTAAGCCTTAAACGCCCTAAGCCCTAAACCCTAAGCCTTAAAAGCCCTAAGCCCTCAGCCCTAAGCCCAAAGCCCAAACCCAACATCCACCTTCATCCCGAAACTCCCAGCCCTGAACCCGTTGAAGCCCTAAGGGCACAGGCCTAGGGCCGCCTGCATGGGTTTAGGGTTTAGGGTTTAGGGTTTAGGGTTTAGGGTTTAGGGTTTAGGGTTTAGGGTTTAGGGTTTAGGGTTTAGGGTTTAGGGTCCATTCTTCTATCTGCCCGGTGGTGCCCTTTTGCCTCTTCTCTTGGGTTCTATTTTTGTGTTGGGTTTAGGAGTTAGGGTTTAGGAGTTAGGGTTTAGGATTTAGGGTTTAGGGTTTAGGATTTAGGGTTTAGGGTTTAGGGTCCATTCTTCTATCTGCCCAGTGGTGCCCTTTTGCCTCTTCTCTTTCGTTCTGGGTTCCCTTTTGGGATTTTCCCCCATTTTTCTAGCCAACACCAACAGGCTCCAGGGATTACAGTACCCCTCCCCCCCCTACTCCAAATCCCTACTAGGGTTGTTGTCAGGTTATGATCGCTTTTGGGGTACCCTAAATAGTAGGTGCCGTATTACAATAGGGATCCAAAAAGGGACCATGATTTTGACAACAGCCCCTGAGTAGCCAACTACAGCGGCAGCACCAGCGGCCAGCGCAAACATCGCCATCAGCAGCAAGTCAGCAGCAACACCAGCAGCAACAAAGAGGGTTTAGGGCTTAGGGTTTAGGGTCAGAGGTTCACAGGCAGGCAAGAAGATCAAGATACATGTCATAAACATGAACATAAGCAATCTAGTCTCGGGTCCGATTGGACCTGCCTGATTGACTCCATACAGATTTACATTTCATGCGATTGGCCCCATACAGATTTCATTTCATGCGGCCCCCAAACCCACCCCAGCAGCCCTAAACCCTAAACCCTAAACCCCAAACCCCAAACCCCAAACCCTAAACCCTAAACCCTAAACCCTAAACCAACCCTGAAGAGGATCTGAGTCGGCGATTGGATCTCGCGCACGAAGAGCTGGCCAGGCTGCGGGTGACTTCTTTAAACCCTATAAAAACCTATGAACCCTCAAGCCCTAACCCCTAAAGCCCTAAAAACCTACAAACCCTAAAGCCCTAAACCCTACAACCCCTAAAAACCTAAAAACCTAAAAACCTAAAACCCTAAAACCCTAAAACCCTAAAACCCCAAAACCCTAAAACCCTAAAACCCTAAGACCCTAAGACCCTAAGACCCTAAGACCCTAAAACCCCAACCCAAAACCCTAAAACCTATGTGCTCTAAGGCTCGAATGTCGGCGAGGGGGGGGGTTTGGTTTTGGGCGGTTCGGGGGTTTGTATTTAGGGTACCCTGATGTTGAATGGGGTTGAGCATATCTACGCGCTGTAAGCGAAGGTTCTCGAGACATTATTCAGCGAACTCAGTTTGTTGGGGTTACTCGCTGTTTTTCACAAGTTTTCTTGTGGGGAAATATTTCGGGATGAGGTTGGCTGCAGTCTGAGGCCCCTTGGTGCCCCCCTTGCTGGCTTCAAAAACTCAGGTACAGT